TGGAATAGTTTAGGTTAGATGGGCTTCAGATTGGTTTCACAGGTCGGTGCAACATCGAGGGCCGAAGGGCCTGTACTGCGCTGTAATGTCCTATGTTCTATGTCCTATGTTCTATGTCCTATGTTCTATGACTCAGGAAAAGAGCTGGCACTTGCACTTCCACCAGTACCAGCACTGGTAAACACGTGTAGTCAGCAACTCCAGCCTCACCAGTTGGCCCACCACTGGTGCCTATGTCAACACTGGCACCATAACATCAGGCCCACTGGCACCTTCACCAAACCTAGCACTGGACATAAAGACATAACTGGAGCAGGAATGGGGAATTAGGCTCTTCAAACCTGACTCACCATTCAATTCCATCACGAATCATCTCCTGCTTCAATTTCACCTTCTAACATTAATCCCGCATCCCTTCACCTCCTGCAAAACCAAACATCTGTTTGACTTTTGCCGCTACAATGACATAGCAGGTCAAATGGTCTGCTTCTGACCTGAAATGATGTGGTTCTAAGACAACATGTATCAGAAAGAGTTTGAAGTCCAGAAGCAGCTGAAGGGCCAGGCAAGAAACATTTTTTTGTTTTGCGTGTACATTGACAATCAATTTGCTGCACCTTTTCCAATCTTCTTGGAACAGGAAGAAAACCTGCTGATTGGAACTAAGTGATAGTGATGGATAATTCCTAAATAAACTTGGGATTTGACTTGAACCTACCTGAAGGTTGATTTTGTAGTCTATCCCTGGCTGCAGTCTGTTAACATCATTGTCCCACAGGATCTGGGCGATGTCAGATAGTTCTGTATTGTTCTCCATTCTGAACGGAGCAGCGAAGTCCTGTCTGAGTAGATGAAGCTGGACATTCACTTTCAGGATTGAAGTCAATTAAAAGGAAAATGTGATCAGGAGGGTAAATATGGATCGCGAGGTCTCAATCCACCAGCATCCTTTTGCTATCCCAGCTGAGCTAGAAGGTCTCCTGAGAACTCCATTCATGAAACCTAAATTCTCACACCTCCCTTTTGTCTGGTTGCAAACTCCTGGTATTTTGAGAGTCCTTGTATGTCTGGGCATGTCTCTCTGCAATTCACTTAGAGCTGGCAGCTTTTCAGGGATACTCTTAGCACCCATGATTTTTAGCATCTGGTGTTCTTATAAGCTCCAGACTAATATTTGAAAATATTATTTTATAACTCCTCAGTTCAAGGCCAGCCTTTTATGTAGCACTTTGTCATAAAATCCATTTGGACAACATCCACTGCTTTCCATCCATCATTTTTTTTTGTCACTTTATCAAACAATTCCATTAAAATAGTCAAGTATGATTTGGTTTTTAGAAATCCATGTTCTTATTTAGCTCAAATCTCTCTAACTGCCTTGTGCGTTTTCCCTGATCATTGTTTCTGAAACATTACCCACCACTGATTTTCAACTAGCTGGTCTGTATTTACTGTTGATACATCCTTACATCCTTACATCTTTTGTTGAAAAAGGCTGTTACCATTTCCACTCTCCAGTCCTCTGGTACTTCCCACTGTTTTTAGGAAATATTGGCAGATTAAGGCAAGCCTTCTGCTGTTACCTCCCAATTCATGTAACAGCCTGGGATTCAACCTTTCCAAAAAAAGTGACTTATCCATTTTAATTGTCAGCCTTTTCAGTACATCTTCCCTATTTTTACCCATCCATTTTATCTGCCATCTCCATTTCTACTAATACCCTGTCAACTTCCTCTTCCTGAACAGATGTTAATAAGTACTCATTAAGTATTGTAGCACTGCCCTACACCTCTATGCATATATCGCAACACTTGCTCTAATTGAATTCCACATCACGTCATAGCACTGGATAACTACTCACGTGCTAGTAGAGGACATCAGGATTCTCTTTTATGTTAACTGCCTTTCCATTCCCTTAATCCCTCTTCTCCTCTAAACCTATGGAATTCGATGCTTTTCTCACTTGAAGGTGGGAATCTGAGGGGCAACTTTGTTACACAGAGGATGGTACAGGTGTGGAATGAGCTGCCAGCGAAAGTGGTTGACCTGGATACATTAACAACATTTAAGAGGCATTTGGACGAATACGTAGATAGGAAACGCACATGGATGACAGTAAAATGTAGGGTATGCAGGTTAGTTTGATCTTAGAGTAGGATAATAGGTTGGCACAACATCGTGGGCTGAAGGGCCTGTACTGTTCTATGTTCTATGAAAAGTTTGGAAGGATATGGGCCGAGTGCAGGGAAATGAGATTAGCATGGATGAACATTTTAGTCAGCATGGACCAGTTTGGGCTAAAGGGCCAGTCTCCGTGCTGTAGGATTCTATGGCACTAAGAATTCATTTGACATTCATCTGTAAAAACTTGAAGATTACACTTAAAAAAGGTCTTGCCTTCCTTGGCACCACCTTTAGAGAGATGATTAAGGATGGCCCTTCACTCTGGTACTGAACCTTCACTCAGTAATAGCATGTTCTCAATGCTGTCAAGGTCTCACAGCCAACACATGTCAATCAGACACGTATGTTCTTGCTGCGGCCTGTAACCCTAGCCCAAGATTACTGACACTGCTATGCTCTCACAATCTGCATGCTGGTCAGCATTTGTGTGCCTTCCTGGACATCACTGTTTGCCTGTCATTGTTGGGGTCCCTGGTTAACCAATAAAAGGGCCTTTCCCTCACTATCTCCCTGTGAAGTGAGGACAATGGAAGGCATTGAGTGAGGTGATCGATCAGCAGAAAGAACTCAGCCAGGTCAGCACATTGCAGAGCTCTGAAAACAAACAGTGGCCCCAGAACACAGACAACCAGCCAATCACAATCACCCAAGCTTAGTCTCCCTGACCTCCAACCTCATAGGCCCAGAGCACAGGGATCCCTGGCAGTCTCAGTGCTCGCATTCAACTATCCCCAGTATTCAATGAATGGTAAAAAGAAACTAAGAATGTAAAATTGAGCAGCCTAGCACCACCTCGTCTCCTGCATATTTTCATGTGTGTAATGCACCATTGACCATTTCCTGCATGGTCTACATGGAGTTGCAGATTTAAAATGGTGAACTGACATCCTTCCCTACATTGGTCCAAAAACCTTAAAGGTATCGGCTGAATGGGCTTATACTAAAACTAGTCAATGGATACACAAACAACAGCTTTGTTAATCACTCTGAAACAGCAAGAATTATGCAGTGAGGTACGCTTTGTTTTGGAACTATTTGAAATGTCACATGAGGTATTTTTATCTTATTTTCACTAAATTTGTGAAAGTGTTATGGTATATTACTGCCACAATTTGTAGGGTTTCACTGTGGACAGAAAGAGATGAAGGACCAGCTGATTACACCGGCATGGTGATAGTTTTTGCATTAATACTTGCTCTACAACTTGAGCAGGATATGGACATGACGAGGCAGAGGGAGTAAACTCTGCAATGGGGCAGGGGTAAGGGGGTTGTCCACAGAAGGCCCTACCCACTAAAGGTCATCCAGGAGCACCTGGCCTCTTTAGCCGAGTCAAGGGCAGCACCTGAAGAGAAAGATCAAGGAGCGACTCAAGTGAGTCGTGTCACTCCTTCATTGGTCACAGCAGGATCAGGACAGGCCTCCCAATTACCATAAAGTTCATCATCACCTGAGCAGCAGATCCGTTTCCAAAGGGAGCAGTTGACATAGGCAGCATTCCAATATTTGCCTTTCACACATGAATCAGGGAAGTGGCAGAGGTACTATACACAACATAGGGGGCACTGTACACAAGGTGGGGGGCACTGTACACAACACAGGGGACACTGTACACAAGGCTGGAGGCACTGTACACAATACAGGGAACACTGTACACAGGGTTGGGGGCACTGTACACAGGGTTGGGGGCACTGTACACAGGGTTGGGGGCACTGTACACAACACAGGGGGCACTGTACAAATTGTAGGGGGTACCGTACACAAGGCTGGGGGCACTGAACACAAGAAGAGGGAAATTCATCTTCTTCCTCCTGAGGAGATAACAGCAAGATAAAAGAGCACATAGATTCATCGAGATAATAACCTCTTCAATGGTGCCAACATGCATGATGGCACGCACATGACTCTACCACCAACAGTAGAGATCGGAGGCCACCTCACGAGGAAGATGAGCAGGAAGGTGGAAGAGACCAGATTCATCAGGTGTAACTGGAAGCAGTGAAAGGGACAGTATTGCAAGCTTCTCCACCTCACCAAGGACCCACCGTTCCCAAAGTGAACACCTCAGCCTCTCCATTGCAAAGTTGTTCTTGCCAGCACCAATCAATAAAGGTGATTAATGACAAAGAGGAATGTGGGGATAGCACAGGAATATGACATTGAGATAGATGGTCAGCTATGGTCTGGAATGACAGAGCAGACTCTAGGAGTGGATTCTCCTGTCACAACTCACTGAGGGAGTTCACTGGAAATCAACTCCCACTGCTCCTGGAATCATCACAAATGTGAAAACTTTTACCCAAACTATCCAAAGCCCCAGTTGCCCCAACTGACAAACACAAATTTAAAGAAAACGCTTACCAGGTTGCTTTACTTAACAAGAAAATAACTGTTTATTAGGTACAAATTGTCTTTAACCAATTAACCAATCAATTAGGAAACATGAATTGCTAACTTAGAATTTTATAACTTAAGCTCTGTCCCCATTAAATTTCCCCTTTCACAAACAGACAGACAAGGCATGGATGTAAAGGGCAAAGAAAGAGAAAAAAAAATTAAGTAAACACAATTCGATAGCATCAGTCTTGGACCATAGAATTCAATGAGTTGCTTTCTGTCTCTTCCTTTCAACTCCTTTTTAGTTCTTTGCTGTTGACACAAGATTGTTTTCTCCCCAGTGCTTACCTTCATTAACTGGCTGAGAATTTATTATTTCACTGCCTTTAAAGGGATTTTATATCCTTCTTCAATAGAGGTTTTGCAAAGAAATGTGAATGAAAGGCAATTACCTGTTCCTGGAGATCGTAGGAACTGCCGATGCTGGAGAATCTGAGATAACAAGGTGTAGAGCTGGATAAACACAGCAGGTCAGGCAGCATCAGAGGAGCAGGAAAGCTGACATTTCGGGTCTTGACCCTTCTTCAGAAACTACCTGTTCCTGGAGACTTCCTGGTACTTCCACATGGGAAAGAGAGAGAGGACAAAGAGGTTATTTGATATTTTCTTACTGCAGTTTAGTGGTTCTATGTTACACTGTACACCCCACACTATCTGCTGACCACATCTCCCCCTCCTGACACACACACACACACACACACACAGACACAAACCATGGTCACCTGGTGAGGAGCCAATCAAGACATTGTTGTCAAGCCAATATCCAGCTTAATCCAGAATCCATCAGCTCCATGGCGTTTGTTTTTTGCTCTCACTGTTCCAGGGAAAGTAACATTGCACTTAATTTACGGTGCTCCGGTAAACATGATTTTTAAAATGGCAACCATCTCTTTACACAGTCTCCTTGTTTTAAAACAGTATCTTCCTTTTATTAGCCCACAGTCCAAAACTAAAGTGGATTAAATTATATGGTCTTTATATAGCTCATGTGTTTTTAAAAGCTTCACTCAATAACTCTACCCAGAAATACATCAAAAGTACATTTCAAAAATGGTTTAGCCTTGCGGACTCCCTTCATGGGTTGCCATGCCTGGTGCCTCTATGCAGCATTAGCTAGGTGGCTTCAACATGCCTAGTGGAAGGTAGCTGCTTTTCACCAGCTAAAACTGCAGATACTGTTTCAGGGTATCTCTGACCTTTGGGGCCTGACTTTGGTTAATACCCGTTCACATGGGTGTTGAAGTCTCAACCTGGCTGATTGAGGAGACACATCAAGGCAGTTGCAGTGGTGGGAGCACCTATGCTAATATCCTAAGAGAGATCGGCAGGTCCATGCTGTGGAGCCTCTGCCTCTCCTCTGGGGATGAGGCCTCCAACAAATCCTGCCAGGGCCTGCAGAACCCACTGAGCTCTGAGCTCCACTTCCACAAGAGCAGCTCTCCTGAATCTACAGGCCAACAGCCATTGATGTCTGCCTGAGCTCCCAATGCATTACTCAGACTCCAGCAGGATTTCATGTCTGCTGTGGTGAAAGTTGAACCAGAGGGCAGTAGGCACTCCATCCTGGTTTGACCTGGCAGGGCAGCAATGGAGGTGTGTGCCCACCAATTCTATGGTGGAGAGGATGGGTTCCAACCTCTGCATCGTAGCCTTCAGTCACTGGCTGGGGTCATGGAGGAGTCCTGCTCCACAGTGACATAGGCTTAGTGGGAAAATAGAGATCTCAGTGTGTGCACTGATCAGCCTCCTATAGTCTTTACCAGCAAAGTCCTCATCTAAGTCATCTACAGCTGATCCATCTGCACCTAGCCATCCAGGAATAGATGCACCAGCTGTCCTGCTCCCCTAGCCTGGCTGCAGGTTATACATAAGTTCATAGAATCCGTCCAGTGTGGAAGCAGGACATTCGGCCCATCAAATCCACATCGGGCCTATCCAGACACACCCTATTGCTGACCCACCCATTCTACATGCTATGGGCAATTTAGCACAGCCAACCTGCACAACTTTATTGATATGCACTAACTCACCACGTGTTGATCTTGAAGCCACACTACCACAGGGAATTCACACAGGGCTCTTGTCCAAGCTGGAGTCTGTGAATCAATGGACAAATGGCAGCATCTTCATTCTTCCTCATTGAGGATGTGCAGCCATCAGTTCATGACTGTCTGAAAGCACGAAACAAAGAGTAAAGGGAGTGTAGGGGTAAAAGGAAACTTCCCTGAATCTACTCCACTGGTTATAAACCTTTCAACGAAGGGGAATCTGTCCTATCTATACCCCTCATAGTTTCAGTTAGGTTTCTCCCCTCAACCTCCTTTGTTTCAAAGAACACCACACTAGCCCAGCCAAACATTCCTAATAACTAAATGTCTCCAACTGGACAACATTGTCATAAATCTCCATGTAGCCTCTTTAGTTCAATCACGTTTTCCTCATTGTGTGGGGATCTACATTGCACACTGCTCCAGCTGAGACCTAACCAGTGCTTTATACTGGTTCCAGCATTAATTCCTTGTTCTTATGCCTTGGCTCATAAAGGAAAGAATCCCATCTGCTTTCTTGACCACCTATCTACCTGTCCAGCTCCCTACAGGAACTCCAAGCTCCTTCTGTTCCCCCCATTTAACAGTATGCTACCATTTATTGTGCATTCCCTTGCTTTCTTAATCTTTGCCAAATGCACGACCTCATACTTAGCTATGTTTCCGTGTACCTGACTACACTTCATTGATATCTGTCTGCAGCTCTCTTCTTCATTATCAGGCATTTTTTTGAATCATCTAATTTTGTAATCATGTTCCCTACATTCAAGTATATACTTTCAAGGGCAAGGAGCCTCAGTAAAGTTCAGTAGGGTCATGCTCTGCAGTAACAGTCATATTTGCTATTCCTGCTTCTACCAGCAGACAGCAGTCTAATTCCAAACTATCACATTAATTCCTGGAATCCAACATAGAAAGTTCATGTCAAGAGAGTAATGGTGAGTACAGTAACTTTCAGTCATAAAGCACATTCCCAGCGAAAGACGTGGAGTTTTAGCCTCTGCAATCTTACCTTGAACCAGGCATGTTGGTCGTAGTACATGCGGTAAAAGCCATGCTTCCCTGCTCTTACCCAACTCCTTGGTTGGTTGCCCCATGCCCTTCGTGACAAACACAGGGGAGACCTGAAACAAAACCTGAAATTGCTGGAGACCCTCAGCAGGTCTGGCAGCATCTGTGGGAAGAAAGCAAAGTGAATGTTGCAGGTCCAGTGATTCTTCATGAGAGGAGACAGAGCTGAGCTGGGTTCCAAGCAGATTTCCCTGCTCTCCAGTTGGAGGGGACTTGGAAAAGTTTGGAATATAAATGTGTTGATAACAGACAATGAGAAAGTGCTCCCTGAGCCTCCAAAGCAGCAGGTTATCACAGAGCTCTTTCTGACGTGTTTGAGATTAGTGCTCAGCTCCTGAGTTAAGTCTCTCCTTCTCCCCTACCCCAGAGGAGGGTGTCGGCCCCTTTAAGGAGCCTGGTAAGCGCCCGGTCCGGCAATGGAGGGCTCCAGTTCGGGTTTTTGCAGTAGTTGTGGTGGTGACTGTGGGAGCGGAGCGGGATTGAGCGGCCGAGCGCTTACAGAGGTAGCCAGGCTCTTACCACTGCCCAGCTCTTAGACACGCTGGGAATCGTTCATACTCCCCCTCTCACCCCCATCCTCTGAAACCGATTCTTTCTCTGAACGAACAGCCTGCTGAGGTTCCCCTGCATTGACTGGATCTGACTCTGATCCTTCCCTGTTAACTCCTCACTCCTTCCCCTAACTCCATCCCTGTTTTCCTCTCATTTCCCTACTCTTTCCCCTACTCTCCAATTCTTTCGCGCTCTCTCTCTCAATCTCACTCCCCTGTCCCTTGTCGCCTTCTCTTCTCGCCCTCTCTATTCCCTCTGCCTCCCTCCATCCCTGTATTCTCTCTGCCTCCCACTAGTTCCTTTCTCCTACATCTCTCTTACCTCACCATGCTCCACTTCTCCTCCTGACACTTTCCCTCTCCTCCCGTTCTCCGTGTACCCTTCTCTGTTTGGCGTCTGAATGGCCAATGAGCCTGTGAAGAGGGATCTCCACATTGGGAATCTTGTCTTTTCCTGACTGCAGGATGTGTTGCAGACTGGTACTGTGTGTCATGGTTCGGGTATCTCTGCTGTGGGGGATCCTGGTTGGAATGTCCATGGGTCATGACATATCCCAGCCGTACTACCACCAGGAGAATGGTAAGTGGATCTTAATGAAAGAACAGGAATGCAGCACCTAGCATTTGGTATCTAAAGAAAAGGGCACCCTTGGGTGGGGGTCCTAAGGCACCGATGCTGAATCTTTCATTGCAAGAACTGGGTGTTGGCAAACATCTCTGTCTATACGCTCAAAGTGTCTCTGTTAATCTATGTCCTTGTTGAGCTTTCTGTCTTTTAGTGTCTCCCTGTGTGTCTGTCCTTTCTTTCCCCCTTTCCTCTCTCTCTCTTTCTCTACCTTTCTCAGACAGCCCTACTTTGTGTGTCCGTCACTTTCTTTTTTTATAAATTTAAAAAACTGACCCCAGTTTGCAGTGTTGAAGATTTGGTGCTGTCCCACTTTAAAGCTGGTGATGAGATTTCAATGATAGTTCAAAAAAGATTTCCATTTCTGTAGCACCTTTCATGAGTACAGAATGACTGTAAAGCACTCTGGGACAATGAAGTGCTTCTGAAGTGCAGTGTCTGTTACAACATAGGAATTGCGTAGCCCATCTCTGCACAGCAAGATCCAATAAACAGCTCTGAGATATTGACCAGATGCTGAATAGATATCAGCCACAACATCCTTGGTTCTTGTTTGAAAAAGTGTCAGTAGAATCCTTTATGTACACCTAAAACACCAGACTGACCTCCAACTTGACATCACACCTAAAAATATGGCATCTCTGACAGTACTATACTTCCCCAATACTGCCATGGAGTGGTAACTGTTTGAGTTCCGTGCTCCAAAGTTCTGGAGTAGGATTTAAAACCACAACCTTCTGAAGACAATACTGCTAACTCAGTCATAGCTACCAGTGTTGAAGCATCACTCTAAGGTAGGGGTGAATAACTGATCAGTGAACTACCCTTTCCATTGTCAGCAGCTTTCACACCCTATCCATTGTTCTGATGTTCACTATCACCAGTATTCTCAGACAGGTTGAGGTTGTGTACTTTTTCCTGGTTCCAAACCTTTCCTAAAGGCACTGACTCTCACTAAATGTCCCTGTTTCTCCCTATTTGATCCTATCATCTCTATCTCTCTACCTGCCCCTAGCTCTGTCTCTCTTTCTCTTTCTATCTCTCTCTTCACCCCCCACCCCGTTGTTGTCTCTATCTGTCCCTGTTTCTGTTCGCTCTCCAGCTGCCCCTGACTAAACCCCCCCCTTCCTCTCTCTTCTCTTTCTCATTCTCTTGATCTTACCAGCATTGTGTCAATGTGAGGTGTTTCCCTTTTTATCTGCTTTCGTGGTCAAGATAATGAAAGAATCATTTGTTTTAGCGATGTGAACAATTGTTGGCTACAGCTCATGCCAGAGTCTACTATTTATTCTCTGCCTCTGAAACGTATCTCTTTTTGTGTAATATGTTGTGCATTCCTCAATTGCCTCCTGTCTTTAGTTCAAACAAACTTTAATCAAGATCTGAAAGGTCAGTGGCACAGACTTCAATCTGCGGGTGAAAAGTAAACAAAACTGGGAGTACAGGCCCTCTTACATAGACACTGTATGGGACTGCATAATTCCGCAGATGTCAGCTGTCTGAGAGTGGGAGAGCAGGGAAATCATCCTGTCTCCAGTGAACCACGGAGAAGAACAATATGCTGATTCTAGGTTGGCCTGTCAGTGTCAAGGTACAGTACTAGTGGGTTCAGGACTCTCTCTGTTTAACATGGGGTATAATGCAATTAAGTTACGATTGAGGTAAGCTTATGTCTCTCTGTATAAGACTAGGGCACAGTGCTGGTGGGTTCAGGGCGACCTCTGTATAACAGAGGTACAGTACTAGTGGGTTGAGAATTGTCTACTGTATAACACTGGGATACGGTAACAGGTGGGTTCAGGACTATTTCTGTATAACACTTGGGTACAACACCGATGGGGACAGGTCTGTCACTGCATAACACTGTACAGTACTGGTGCGTTCAGGAATGTCTCTGTGTAACACTGGGGTACAGTACAGGTGGGTTCAGAACTGTCACTGTATAACACTGGGGAACGGTACTGGTGGGTTCAGGAATCTCTCTGTAAAACATTGGGGTACGGTACTGGTGGGTTCAGGACTGTGTATAGCACTGGGGTACGGTACTGGTGGGTTCGGGGCTTTCTCTGTATAACACTGGGGTACAGTACAGGTGGGTTCAGGACTGTCTCTGTATAACACTGGGGTACGGTACAGGTGGGTTCAGGACTGTCTCTTTACTCAGTTCTTTACTCAGAGAGTAGTAAGGGCATGGAATGCCCTGCCTGCAAAAATAGTAGCCTCGCCCACTTTAAGGGCATTTAAATCGTCATTGGATAAACATATGGATGATAATGGAATAGTTTAGGTTAGATGGGCTTCAGATTGGTTTCACAGGTCAGCGCAACATCGAGGGCCAAAGGGCCTGTACTGCGCTGTAATGTTCTATGTTCTATGTCTCTGAATAACACTGGGGTATGGTACTGGTGGGTTCAGGACTGTCTCTATATAAACTGGGGTATAGTACTGGTGGGTTCAATTTGTCACTCCATAATGCTAGGTTACCATTCTGTGATCATTGGATTGATAAAGGAAACAGCCCTCAGTGTCTGTCCTGTCAAAACACTTCAAATCTTATCAGTTTCAGCATGATCACCCCTCATTCTTGTAATATCTAAGTAAAGACAGAAATTATGTCTTCTCTGTACTATCTCCAAGTTGCTCAGTGGTGACTGTCTGTTGAGACGAGTGACACTCAGCCTCAATCAGAGTTCTACATAACTGCCCGAATACACTCAATGTAAAAATGAATATGGTCAACATTCCTATTGAACAATTAAATAAAACCAAACCAGGAACTGAGAGATATGGCACCTTTTACACTGTCTCACCAATATAGGTGCAGGGATGAGAGCGCAAGGTTGGGTGCAGAGTAAGGTTTTCTCTCTCTGCTCAAACGCTCCCAGGGTAGGTACAGCATAAGTTTCCTAAGCTTCCTTATAGGTTCATAATGTCACAGAAAACCAAACCGAATATGGAAGGATAGAGGGGTTGTATAAATGGGTGTTACAGAGGCAAAGAGTTTGTAGAAAAGTATGTTAGTAGCTACTATGAAACAGGATTTGAAAGTATTTTATAAACAGTTTAATAGTAGTCAAGGGAAGAATGGGGTTAAGAAGGAGGCAAAAGGAAATCTTCTTGTGGAGGTAGAGGGTATGGCAGCAATGTTAATAAATGCATTGTATCTGTCCGTCAGAGTAGATTGTTGTAGGACAATGCTGCCATCAGTCAGACCAACCCAATAAACCTTCACTGCTCTGCCTCCAAGGCAAATATATTCACAGTCATAGAGTCCTACAGCACGGAGACAGGCCCCCAGCCCAAACAGGTCCATGCCAACGAAAATGCTAACCCCATTTCCCTGCACTTGGCTCATATCCTTCTAAACCTTTCCTATCCGTGTATTTGTCCAAATGCCTTTTAAATGTTGTTAATGTACCCACCTCAAGCACTTTTGCTGGCAGCTCATTCCATATGTGTACCACCCTCTGTGTAAAAGAAGTTGCCCCTCAGATTCCGGTGTATTCTTTCCCCTCTTACTTAAACTGATGCCCTCTAGTCCTCGATTCCCCAACCCTGGGAAAAAGACTGAGTGCATTCACCCTATCCATGCCTCTTGTGATTTTATACACTTTGTCCTTAGATGTACAGAGCATTCTAGGTGCGGTCTACAAATCCCTGTACAATTGTATAATCTTCCTTGCTCTTGTACTGCAGTCCCCTCTCAATTCAAATCAATGTGCCATTAGCCTTCTGAATTGCTTCCTTGCTAATGTCTTACATTTATTGGAAAGGAATTGTTAAGTCACTGTATTGTAGTTTCTCGCCATTTAGAAAGAAATCTGCTTTTCCATTCTTTCTGCTGTGAAATAACCATATGTTTCCCCAAATTATTTCCCTTTTGCCACCTATTGTCCACTCGCTAAACCTATCTACATCTCTTTGTAGCCTCAGTATCCTGCTCATGGATCACTGCCCCGATCTTGCTTTGTGTCATCAGCCAATGTGAATATGTTACTCACAGTACTTTCATTTAAAGCACTAATATAGACCTTTGCAACCTCTCCCCTTGCCTGAGGTGTGGTCATCCTTGGTTTAAAACACCAACAGTTACCTCACTGTAATGAGAGAGTAGTCCTATGGTCTGGAAGAACTATGGCAACTTTGCCTTCTGTGTCATAAATAGCTGGCCTCAGCACTGATCCTTGTAGCACCTGGCTAGGTACAATTACCACCTTGAAACTGTCTATTTTTATTCTTACACTGATTTTGTCCACTAACCATGGACAAATTATAAACTGTGAGGAGAATAGCGTGGAGCTCCAAACAAACATTGACAGGTTGTTGGAGTGGGCAGATAGGTGACAGATGAGGTTCAATGCAGAGAAGTGTGAGATGCTGTACTTTGGTTGGAAGAACACTGAAAGACAATGTAAAATAGGGAGTACAATTCTAAAAGGGGTGCAGAACCAGAGGGATCTGGATGTATATGTGTACGGATCATTGAAAATGGCAGGATCGGTGAAGAGAGCATTAAATGAAGCATACAGTGTTCTTGGTTTTGTTAATAGGAACATAAACTACAAGATCAAGGAAGTGACGTTGAAGCTGTACAATGTCCTTCTTAGACCTCAGCTGGTATATTGTTTACGATTTCTGGCACCAAATTATAGGAAGGATGCGAAAGCATTGGAGAGAGTGCAGAAGCAATTTTGCTGAAATGGTTCCAGTTATGAGGATAGATTGAAGAAGTTGAGACTACTTCCTCTGGAGAGAAGGCGGCTAAGAGGAGATTTGATTGAGGTTTGCAAAATTATGAGTGGGCTGATTAGAGTAGATAGGGTGAAGTTGTTTCTGCTCGTAAAAAAAAAAATAAGACTGAAGGGGGCAGAGATTTAAAGCAGGAATTGTTTGAGAAAAGCTTTTCTGCGCAGTGTTATTCGGTATGGAATGAACAGTCTGGAAATGTGGTGGAG